GGGCACTGCGGTAGGATCAATAAATAAAATCAGATCATCCAACCAGAGTTGTAAATTGTTACAATTGGAATTTATTCCTACCAGAAATAATTTAACTGTAGGGCAAGATGCAAAGCACAACTATAGTTAAATGAAATATGGATCTGGCCCAATTAAGAATTTTATTTAAAAGAATCCACCGAACCAAGAGTTGTAATAATGATTGCAATTGGAATGAATTCCTACCTAAATAACTTGACTGTAGGGCAAGATGCAAAGCACAACTATAGTTAAGTAAAATATGGATCTTGGCCCGCTAGGGTATTCTTCAAATAGAAACCCCTAGTCAATAGGTTCCGTACCTGAGGGTAATTGACTTGTTAGAAATAGTGGGAGAGTATTTAATAAAGACCTATTAGATACTTAATTCATGATAATAACTATCTTCGCAAAATTCTGTAGATGGCAAACAACAACACAAACAACCTCGCCCTACGTTCCATTCTGGATAAAGATAAATTGGACGGAACAAACTTTGTTGACTGGCAACGCAATCTCTCCATTGTTCTCCGCATGGATGAGAAAGAGTATGTGCTCGAAAAGCCCATTCCTCCTGCCCCTCCCGCTAACGCCCCGAAAGCGGTCAAAGATGCCTACGAGAAACACGTTAAGGATGACAACCAGGTTAGCTGTGTCATGCTGGCTACCATGAAAACCGAGCTACAAAAACAGCACGTGGACATGAAGGCCCACGAGATGATCGTGGCCTTGCAGCAGCTATACCAGGGGCAATCCAGGCATGAACGTTTTCTCGTGAGTAAGGCTCTCTTTAGTTGCAAGCTCTCTTCAGGGAACCCGGTCGGTCCGCACGTTCTCAAAATGATTGGTTACATAACCAATCTAGAGAAACTCGGGTTCTCCTTGCAGAAGGAGCTGGCAACGGACCTGATCCTGCAGTCGCTCCCTGAGCTGTATAAGGGTTTTGTCATGAACTACATGATGCATGATCTTGACAAACCCCTTCC